TGGTGGGGGGGGTGGGGTGGTGTTGGTGGGGCGAGGTAGTGGTGCAACATGCCTTTTCCACAACTTCTAGTGGTTAAATAAAATAAACCCCTAAAGCTCACTTTACAATCAACAGTAACAATTTATTCATCTAACAATGAACAAGCTAATTAACAAACAGAATAAATCCCTTCTAACTACTAACTACTCCCAAATAAAACAAGATTCTAATGGTAAGCTATTCCAATAAATACAAGTCCCACTTATATAAAATAAAACTTAAAAAATTAGAATTTAGTCTCGCAAAATTGCAGCCAGGTTACATTTCTTCTGGAATGTCCTGTGCCTTCTCCCTTGAATGTTCTGTCAGGAACACCTTCTCTGTGGAATGTTCTGTCAGGAACTAGTTGTGCCATTGGTACCTTTTGATTTAGATAGTGCATTCTCTAAGATTTAGCGAAAACTGAAAGAGCCAGTGAATCTTTCTTGGGAGAAGAGAGCTGTTAACTCTGGCAGATGGCTGTTAATTCTCCTGATTTTCCAACTGTCCTCTCCTTTTAGACCCTTGATGACATTTCAGTCCGATGTTGTCAAAACCATTGGATTTAAATTTAATTGGTTTTTGGTCTCTAAGTACCTGATTCAAATTGATTGGCTAAAATCAAAACTTGTTGTTTTGAAAACAAAACAAAACTGCTGCTTGGTCTGCTAACTGCTAATCTTTTAAATGGACTACACACTGCTTTTTCCCCTTAACATTTTGCAAACACTAAATTCTAACTTCCTGCTTTCCAGTCCATAAGTATTCTACCCAACTTTGCAACATTACACAGAACATGAAAGCGTAATTCAGTGTTTGATTTTGCATTGTCCATTCAGTCCTTTTCTCCTTTTATTACCGTTCTAACGTGTCACACGCTCAAAACAAAAACGTTGGTGTAAATGTGTCATGATGTAATTACACCCACCGTGTTGACGTTGTAGTCTATCTTCTGGACGGGAAGTTGAAATTACAGTGTGACAGGGTGACATAGCGGTTTCCATTATAAATGTAGACCTAGGAATTTTTAAAGTTTACTTTCATTTTCCAAAATTCAGGCATAATATAATGTTTGCAAGTTCTTGTTGTCTATTTCAAAAAATGACTCAGTTGTTGAATGGTTTGTGAAGATGTTTCATTTTGCATTGAACCATACAGCTTATCCTATAAATTGTGAACGTTCTGTATGTTGCGGTTGAGTGTGTAACTGAACAGGTTTAATACAATCCTTTTCTTTTTTGTTTAAAATCCCTACTGCTACAATTTTCAACATGGACCTCATCAACATGAAATATGAAACAAGGGTCTGATTGGCTATTTTGCTTGGTCTATGAATTGATCATTCTTCTGAATGTTTATAATTGTGTGTCAATTTGGGTTCATCAATGAAGTTGTTGACCTTTTTAAAAAAAAAGCTTAATGAGGAATATTAACTTTTCCTTGTTCCTTGCTCCTCTAACTCCTGAAGGTGCTGCTGCGGCCTTGGGTGTGGTTCAGTGGGGGTGGTGGTAGGAGGAGGCTGAGTTTCTTCTTGTTTCCTCATGAGAAGTGGGCATTGCTGTCTGGCTAGCATTTATTGCCCTGTCCCTCGTTGCTCTTAGGAAGATCATGGTGAGCTGCCTTCTTGAACTGCTACAGTCCACATGTTGTATGTGTTAGAAAAAGTGCCTGAGCAGTGAAAAATATCTCAGCCAAGCCTCATTTTGCAGCAAAATTTGGCACACCTTGTTCACAAAGGACAACTCTGGTTGATTGCTTGTATGTTTTACCTTTTCATCCCACTCTTTCACTTGATAAAGAAAATACACTATTCTTTTGTGGAATGTGGACATTGCTGGCAAGGCCAGCATTTGTTGCCCATCTCTAATTGCCTTTGAACCGAGTAGCTTGCTGGGCCATGTCGAAGGACAGGTAGGAGTTAACCACATTTCTGTGGGTCTGGAGTTCTGTTTAGGCCAGACTATGTAAGTATGGCAGATTTCTTTCCCTAATGGGCATCAGTGAATGAGATGAGTTTTTGCACCTGTTTTTCCACCACCTGATACTACTTTCAATTCCGATTTATTAATTTAATTTAATTTTCACCAGTAGTTGTGAGATTCAAACATATGGTCCCGGAGCATTGGCCTGAACCTAGTCCAGTGACAGCACCATTATGCCACCATCTCCCCTAAGCCACTCATTGTCTTTTACTGCTGTAATAAAGAATCAAACCTGGCTTGTAAAAATACAGATTTTCTTATCGCTTGACAAATTGGAATCTTTAAAAGTAGGATTTTCTGGATTTCTGTTGATAGTAGGGATCAATGTTTAGACGCTTGCTGAAGTAGAGGACCGGAAGCTACCATAAATGTTGTCTGTTAACTCTCGGCCAAGAGGCTATGGCTACTGTGGGGTTCTAAAGGTTAACAACTTATGCTAGTAATGGATCCTTTTCCTTACTAATGCATTCGTTACCACCACTTTGTACTCAGTCATAGAAATATATAGCACGGAAACAGACCAACTTGTCCATGTCAACCAGATATCCGATATAAATCGAGTCTCATTTGCCAGCATTTGGCCCCCCTTCCTATTCATGTATCCATCCAGATGCCTTTTAAATGTTATAATGGTACTAGCCTCCATCACTGCCTTTGGCAGTTCATTCCATACAGCGACCACCCTCATTGTGGAAAAAGTTGCCCCTTAGGTCCCTTTTATATCTTTCCCTTCCCATCTTAAACCTATGTCCTCTAGCTTTGGACTCCCCCACCCTGGGGAAAAGACCTTGCCTGTTTACCCTATCTGTGCCTTTCATGATTTTATAGACCTCTATAATGTCACCCCGCAGTATCCAATGTTCCAGGGAAAATAGCCCCAGCCTATTCAACCTCAGCTCAAACCCTCCGAACCTGGCAACATCCTCGTAAATCTTTTCAGAACCCTTTCTAGTTTCACAACACCCTGCTATATTCACTGTTTAATGTTGCAGGTTAGTAACAAATGTCATTAGTATTGCAGAACCAAAAGTGCGGGAGTTGGTCATTCATTCCCCTAGCCTATTCTGCCATTGTTAGAAAATGGTTGATTTGAATCGTGGCTCGAAAGTGCAAATTTTATAGCATTGCAGACTAAAAAGTGTAAAATGCTACAAACAGCGGAAGAAAAGCTTGTATTTTTGTAGCGCTTTTCATAATCTCCAGATTTCCGAAAGTGCTTTACAACTAACTTATTTCTGAGCTGTTGTCACCATTACAATGTAGGAAGTGCAGCCACCAATTTACACGCAGCAAGCTCTCACAAAAAAGGTTTTGGGATAATGACCTGGTGATCTGTTTCAGCACTGTTCATTGAGAGAGGAATATTCAGCCGGAAACTGCTGTTGAAATAATACCACACGAATTCTAGCTGAGTGTTGGACATGGCCTGCATTTAATATCTCATCTGAACCGAGGCACTTTCAACGGTGCAGCACCCCTCCAGTGCACCTCTTGGAAGTGTCAGTCGAGATTTTGTTTTCAAATTTCGCCCTTTGCTTGAACTTCCAGCCACTTGAGTGTGAGGGGAGAATGTTACTCACCATGCCATGGCTAATACCCAAATTAAACCAATGTTTATACAGATTTATTTCCTTTTTATTTAAGTGTTAAACCTTGACAAGGAATGATTTTCATTTTAAATGTACTGTTTGTTTTCAGGCCACAGTATTACAAGCTTTTAGACGAATGTGTTTCTCAGGTAGTTCTACAGAAAAATGGATCTGACCCAGACTTCAAATGCAGAAAAATCTCTCTGGATGTGGAGCATTTAATAGGTAAATATAATTCTGATAATCTTTCAGTGACTAATTATGACTGCATAGCCAGCTATGCACTGTATTGAGGCTTGTAAAATGAAATAAGATATCATATAAACACCAAAAAATTATTTCTTCTGTGTTTTGTTTCAATGCTGGAACAGCAGAGTCTTTGGTAATGCCTGATAATGCCTTGATGTGTTTATTTTGCAGACAACTTGATCGACAAAACCAAAGTACAAATCAGCGAAACCAAAGCTGCGGAATTGGAAAAGAAGGTAATTCAGCAAAAAAAAGTTAATTTGCTTTTGAAGATATGAGCACCAACTTGTGATAGACAGTTCTACTCAGAACCAGCCATGGAGATGTCAAATGGTCTGGCTTTTAATAAAATGCCTGTCAGAAAATTCAATGAGCTGACCGTTGACAGTTTTGTATAAAAATGTTTCCATTTAACAGTTTTGCAAAAAATGGTTAATTGTAGCTGTGCTTAAGAAATAGCATAAAGCATTTTTATTTTTAAGAAATTAATTTAGCTGTCAGTACCAGCGTACAT